TTCAGAATGGGTTTCTAATTGAAGTTTTAGGAAACATTTTTATCCATTTTTACCTTCATCCACACAATGCATTCACTGGAATAATGTAGCACTTATAACTCGAATATTGTTTTTCAACTGGTAGAAAACATTCTCTCTTCTCGGTGAGAACCATATCAGGTTATAAATCACTGACCAATTTTTCCACTATGCACCCTCATTGAATATGAAAATTGATCTCCTGCCAAATTTCCTGCTTGATGCAGAAAGTGAGCGAGCTTGTAACGCCTCAAGAATTAAATTCGGAGAATGAACAAAAAATGATACCATTTGCACTCTTTCAAGTTCGGCACGCTGCAATGGCTGCAAACGAAAAAGAATGGATGACAGGAATGGCAACTGCAAGCTCAGTTGCAGGATCACTCGTTGCCACAGTGGCATTTGCTGCTGCATTCCAAGCACCCGGAGGAAACGATTCCAATGGCATACCCAATTTCTCCAATGGAAGTTCCTTCATGGTCTTCGCCATTGCAGATGCTCTTGCACTTTTTTCTTCTATCACTAGTGTTCTAACCTTCTTATCCATTTTCACCTCCCGCTATGGAGTTCGTGATTATCTTCGTGCCTTGCCCCTCAGAGTGATAATCGGTCTAATTTCGATGATCTTCTCTTTCATATTTTTAACGATTGCATTTAGTTCTGCATTATTTATTGTATTTGTTCATAAACATGACCTGATTCGAGTACCAATAGTCGCACTCTCTTGCATACCAGTGATCTTGTATGCCAAGCTTCAGCTTCCTTCCCTCCTTGCTATGATCAAATCCACATTTTATCCAAGCATTCTCCATTGGTAGATATTGTACTCTGAAGCAATCAAACTAAGGATATAGTATTGTGATTTGAGTCAAAAAATAATCTCTTTCATTTTATGTCCTTGTGTTATTTTGATTGTTCTGTTTGATAAGTCTGTTTGGTTGTGTTGTGTGATTTGAGTCAAAATCTGTATGAATGGTAAATTCACTGAAAAGACTATATTTCGACATGAAAATAAGAACGGAGTTTTTATTCCGATCGGATATTTATTCAGCTTTCATTATTTCTGTAGATTTAATTGATTGAAATCGAAAAGTTTTGTAACTGCATATTCAATCCCCTCCTAGGTTGTTGGCACATAGGAATACGATTTTACAAAGTAAATTAGCCCGTCAGATTTAGATAAAAATCAAAATTTTAATAGATTTTCATAAAAAATGATGAAATGTGCGATTGAAAATTTGATAAAAATTATGGATCTTATAAAATGTGATTGAAATTAAGTTTGAAGGAAGATGCTACACGTACTACATGAAATAGGCCCTGCAGCCGACCCTCCAATAGGGGGTTGCCACTAGGCCATGTAGTAAACCATGTAGTAAAATTTATAGAACATATAATTTAATCCAAGTTTGAATACACATGAATTTTAAAAAATAGGGACTAATATCTCGACATTTTTATGTCTCGAGCATTGTTTAATGTGTGATAAATATATTTCTTGTATTCATCTTCTCTATGACCTTGTAGTAGACACATGATTGTTAAATTAACGCAATTGTACGTATAAATAAATAAGTAATAAAGTGGTGAATTAGGTATTATTCCATGATGACTATTCTAACCAACTATTGATCTCCATAAACTTAAGGTTTTCATCCTCTCTCCCTTTCGAAGAAATGAATCCTTACATAATTTAGTGTAAGAGATGTAAATGGAAATTCTTCAATTGAAACATTAGGCATTAACAAATCAGTCGATTAGGCGCTCAATTAGGGCATAGATGTTGACTAATAAGTTGATGTGGATGGTCTCGTGACTTAACCTTTCTAGATAGAATCACCATTTGCACACCAAAAACACGACTTCTCAGTTCTCCTTCGACTCCCCGTACCGAAAAATTTCCACCATTATTTTGTTCGACAGCATTTCAATATTTATCCGATCAAGCCCTCTCATTTTCATACCAACTTTACTAGAAATTTATGCAAAATTATTAGGAGAGATGATGAGAACATAGTATGACTTTGAATAGTCATCTAATTACATGAATAAACATAGTTTAGTAAAGCTTTAAACTTTCTGTGTACCCTCTCGAGTTATTATGGCTAATATCATTCATCAAGATGAAGTCAAACTTAGAATTCTGGAAGAACTCAGAAGTCTCTTCATAAAGCACAAAAAACATAGTTCCCATCCATATCTTATGAGAAAAAGTTAGTGATATGATTCATTGAAACGATATCATTACCGTGTGGGTGACGCTCAAAATGGTTGGGTAGTCATGGACATGGGGGAAAATGTGAAGGAAATGATAACTTTGCCTTATCCATTATAAGAGGTTGAGATTGAACCGGGTTCAATCTGAGTGCTCCCAAAATTGATAAAATCGTGTTTTGGCAAATGCAACTCTTCTAATTCAAGCTTATCACTGGATATGTGACACGTGGACGGATTGTGGCCGTTGGATTAGCTTCTCGATGGTTCTAATACTTAATGCCATTTCATCTGGTATTATCTCTCGAAGAGTTGATTTAGGGTTCATTCCATTCCTTTTTTCTTCTCTTTGTCTGCGTCATTTAAAAGCTTCTCTTTGATTCCTCTTTGTAAAATCCAAATCAAATCCCTGATTTGATATGGTATTGTGTAATAGAGTGATTCCTTAGTGGAGATATTCTGAGTGAATATTTGTGTGAAGTGTTCGTGTAGCCGTGTAGTTGATTCTATTTGTTTAGTGTTCGTTTCTTTGTGATTTGAGTCTGCTGTATTATGAGAGATAAGTGTTCTTATACTTTCTTTATAATTGATCTGAACATTCTTGTAATCTTTGTTACCAAGTTGGGTTTTATAGTGGAATTGAGCATAATCTATAATATTGGATGCTCAACGAGAGATGTAGGTGTTGGATATGATCACCGAATCTCCGGGGCTTAGCCCGAAACATATCGATTGTGTTATTTAAATTCTACACTTTATTTTTAGTGAACAAACTTTATACTTTCTGTTCTTGATCTAATATCGTGTGTCTTGCCCTAACAGTGGTATCAGAGCCATTGAAAAGGGAGCAAGTTACCTGGCCTAACAGTAGAAATGCTGATTTGATAAGGCTACTAATTTTTTGGAATTGCTATTAAGCAAAATTGCAAAATATCGAGTTCTAAACTCACTGTGTGAGATCTTTCTAAACTCTTGTTAAATTACATTCAAGATTTTAGGGTTTCTTGATTTTTCCCTTGATTTACCATGTACTGTTAAAAACCCCTTGATCTTAGTCTTTATCCAAATGCTCCTGTGAGGCCTCAGGAATATGAGATTAATCAAGAACGGGTGTACACCTGGAGAATCTTGCAGGAGAAATCTCTGAAACATAGTTTTCTTTGTGATCTCTGTTACTGTAACCTCTTTAGAATTCCAAAGATTTTGTATATTCTCTGACTATAATTTATAATTGAAATTCTTGTCTTACTGTGTGTACTACTGTGAATTTCTAATTGACACATCATTGTACTCTTACTATTTTTTGCATACTTGCATTAATTGGCTTTGGTTTGTAAGCTTTATTTGTTTTAAACTATGATCTTTGCAAGATTTGAAGTTAGTCAATTTGATGAAAAATTGATTTTACTTTATGGAGTCAAAAGATGAGAGCTATTTTAATGCAAATGAAATGT